CCGGGGTATACAATGGGTGTGAATAATGACAGTATATTGCTTCGAGTTACCCTGTCCTAATTTTTCCCTGCCAAACAAAGTTGCTGTGCAGGACCCAGCATCCACTTGTAATTTCTTGAATTCTAAGCCTCTGCCATCAGGTTAATCTTTATATGATTCTGACTGGATACAAACATTTCTCCACTTGTTTTGTTCACAAATACTTACGAGTACCCAATACATCCCATTCTGTATACTAAGTATGGGGGATAAAAACAGTGACCACAAGAGACACCTTACACAATTTTCCCTCACCTTAAGGAAAAATTGACATCTGTAATGACCACTGTTTGGGATTTGTAGAGCCGGAAAATAATTATCTTATAGTTTACTGACTAATGGTCCACCCTAACTTTGTGAATACAACTCATTGGGAGGAATTCTTACTTTATCATGACAAGTACCCCTACTGTGTTGCCCTGTCTTGAAGGCTGCAGGCATCATTCTAATTTTACTGTATCAGACATTACACCAGATTCTGTGAGTACATGCCCTGTACATAGTAGCCCTCTAAAGATATGTGCTGATTGATCAAAGATAAATGATTTCTCCACTAGCATTTTCATTTGATCTGGCATCTCAGCCCAGTGGTTAGTTTCTAAATTTAGATTCTATATTCTTAGATGAATTGAGTGCATGAATAGAGGAAATGGAACTGGCTTAGGAATAAGATCTGGTTTTCAGGTTAGTGTAGCAGTCTTACCTCCGACCAGAGTCAATTGACTGTAAAGATGATCAGAAACACTAACTCAGGAAAATATTTTTGGCTGTTTTTAGACATAGTTTTAGGTATTTTATTGAAATCAAGGAGCTTCCAGTTTCTGCTACTACATGGAAGGTGCTTGGAAGTCATCAGTCCCAAGGAAAAGAACTGGAAAAGAGAAAGTCAGCAACTTGACCTAGATCTATCAGATAATTAAGGTCACAGGGCAAACTCCTACTCTGCAAACTGGACAGACAGGTAGATAGATACAGAAAATCATGGCATGGACGCAAGAGAAGGAGCAGAAGCAGTCGCTGAAGCCTGAATCTGTAGAATCACTTTAAGATTGATGAATTGCTCGGGAATCCATGTGGACGAGGTTGGGAGTTCATCTGGAAGGGACCCAGTCTTAGTGATCATCCACTTTCGTGAGTTTATCTCCAGGATCCCTACCAGGTCCTCACAGTGAATATCTGAGAAAAATACCCTGGAGGCCTGGGCAGAGAGAGGGGAAAATAAACTATTTTAAAATACACCAAGACTCTCTGTTGTCTTCAATAAGACCTCCCCTCACTGGAAATTATTTAAGCCTAACCTACTATGTTTTACCAAAGCCTAACTTACCTGGAGAAAGATAAACACCCAACTCCTGCCATGTCCAGCTTTTGACACAGGGGATGGCAATTCGAACTCACTAAAAAGACTGAGACCTAATAGAGGACCCTAGAATGCGAGTCCCCTCCCACCACACATTGCCACCACATCACTGCTCTCCTGAACAGTAACACTTGATTACAAGTAAATGAACTGCAGCCTCAGGTCCCTTAAACTTAAAACGTCTCTAGGGACACCGAAATATGATATGGTAACAAAAATAAAGGCCCTAAGGAGCTTTTAGCCAATAAAAACACAACTACAGCAATCAGTAAATGCAGCTTAACTCCCAGTCAGATTACCATCAAAACACACACTAAAGCCTTCTCTACCTCAGTTCCTACTTCCCAGAATTTCATATACAGCTTTCAACAAAAAATTACATGGAATTCTCAAAGCAGGGAGAAAACACAGAACAGAGACAAACCAAGCATAAGTTTTGCCAAACTCAAATGTGGCAGAGTCTTTGGAATGATCAGGCCAGGAATAGAAAATAACTATGATTCATATGCTGAGGATTCTAAAGGGAAAAGTGGACAACATGCACAAAGAACCAGGGAAGGAGTCCGTGAGCCTAAAGGTATGTCAATAGAAACTTGAACATCTCTTCAGAAACAATGCAAACAAGAAGAGACTGGACTACAATATTTGTAGTGTCAAGAAAAAAAAGTACCAAACCCATCAACCGGGAATTCTGTATCCAGAATAATTATCTTTTAAAAGTGAAGGACAAATAAAGACATTCCCACACAAGCAAAAATTAAGGGAATTTGTCACTAACAGATTGTCCCTGCAAAAAAAAAATGTTAAAAGAAGTTCTTCAGAGAAAAAGAAAATGGTGTAGGTAAGAAACTCAGATATACATAAAGAAAAAAAAATATTAGAGAAGAAATAAATGGAGGTAAAAGAAAACCTTGTAATTTCCTTATTCTTAATTGATCTCACAGATAACAGTTTATCCAAGATAATAATAGCAATAACATTGGCAACCATAATGTAGACATGTCAAATGAATTACAGCAAAGTTACAAAGGATAGGAGAGAGGAATTGGGAATACTTTGTTATAATGTACTTGCGCTACTTGTAAAGTGGAATAGTATTATTTGAAAGTAGATTTGGGTTAGTCATAAATATATATTGCAAACTCTAGGTCTACCACTAAGAAAATTTTAAAAAGAAGTACAATTTATATGCTAAGGAGAGAAAATGGAATCATTTAAAATGATGGGTCAATTAAAACCAGAGAAGACAGAAAAAGAGTAGAAGACCTCCCCCCACTACACCCCTTAAAAAGAAGAAAGAACAGGTCAATATATAAAACCCAGTTACATGTATAGAAGATATTAACCTATATCAACATTTTATATTATAATCTTTTAAAAAAGATATTTATATCAACTTTAAAAGGCCAATAATCTAGATATACCGATTAAAAGACAGAGACGGCTACAAAGGATTAAAAAATAAGATTCACCTGTATGTTGTCTGAAGACATACACTTTAAATGTAATGACGTAAATAGACTAATATAAAGAGAAGGAGAAAGATATGATGCTAACACTAATCAAAAGAAAGATAGAATAGGTATATTAATTTCAGTCAAAGTAGATGGCAGAGCAGATAAGATTATCAGGGGTACATAAGGGCATTATGTAATAATAAAGGGAGTCATTTTTCCAAGAAGACATAACAATTCTGTCGAATAACAGAGTATCAGTTTACATGAGGGAAAAGTGACACCATTGCAAGGAGAAATAGACAAATTCAGTATTATAGTTGGAAACTGCAACACCCCCATCTGCAACTGACAAATCTAATGGAAAATTACTAAGGACATAGCTGAACTGATCACTATCATAAATCAACTGGACCTAACTGACATTTATAGACTAATTTATCAAGCAACAGCAGAAAACACATTCTTCTCAAGCTTATGTAAAACATTCACCATGATAGACCACGTTCTGGGCCATAAAACAAACCCAAACAAAATTTAAAAGAATAGAAATCATACAAAGAGAACACTCAGACTTTAATAGTACTAAAGGAGAAATCAATAACAAAAAGATAGATTGAAAAAATCTCAGAATCCGGGAAGGTAAGAGAACACACTTCTAAATAACATATGAATCAAATAACTCTCAAGAGAAATTTAAAAATGTTTTGAACTAAATGAAGACACAACCTATTAAAATTCATGGAATGAAGTGAAAACAGTACTTAGAGAGAAATTTATTGAAATGAATACAAAAATTAGAGAAGAAGAAAGATCTAAAATCAATAATCTAAGTTTCCACCTTAGGAAGCTAGAGAAAAAGAGAGTAAATTATATCCAAAGTAAAAAGAACGTAAATAATAAAAATCAGAGCAGAAATAAATGGAATTGAAAACAGAAACACAATAGAGAAAATCAATAAAGCTAAAAGCTGGTTTTCTGAAAACATCAACACAACTGATAAAACCCTAGCCACGGTAACCAAGAAAAAAAGAGAGAAAACATGAATTACTAATAGCTAAATAGGCTATATATGCAATCCCAGCACTTTGGGAGGCTGAGGAGGGCAGATCATGGGATCAGGAGATCAAGACCATCCTGGCTAACACGGTGAAACCCAGTCTCTACTAAAAATACAAAAAATTAGCCGGGCAGGGTGTTGGGCACTTGTAATCCCAGCTGCAGGAGAATGGTGTGAACCCAGGAGGTGGAGCTTGCAGTGAGCGGAGATCGTGGCACTGCGCTCCAGCCTGGGCATCACACTGAGACTCCGTCTCAAAAAAAAAAAAAAAAAAAAAAAAAGAAAAGAAAAATAGGCTGTATATGTTAAACAGATTAAATTAAAAAATTATAAACCTTTCAAAACAAAGCACCAGGTCCAGATGTTTTTATTGTGGGAGTCTACCAAACATTTACGAAAGAATCGATACTAATTCTCTACAAAAAAAATAAATAAAGCAGACAGAAAGCTTTCTAACTCATTCTATGAGGCTGGAATTACCCTAATACCAACTCTAGACAAAGATATTACAAGAAAGAAAAACTACAGACTGATATCTCCCATAAACCCACATGTAAAAATGTTTAACAAAATACTTAAAATGGAATTCAAGAATCTATACAAAGAGCTATACACCATGAATAAGTGAGATTTGTTCCAGGTATGCAAGGTTGGTTAAGTGTTCAAAAATCAATTATTGTAATTTATCACAACAGTAGACCATAGAAGAAAAACTATATGATGGTGAGAAACTAGGTAATTCCTTTCTAAGAGTGGGAACAAAGCAAGGACGTCCTCTCTCACCACTTGTATTCAACATCACACTGGACATTCTAGCTAACGCAATAAAACAAGAAAATGGTAAGACACGAAAGGCAAGTAGATAAAGAAATTAAATAAAAATCAAAGTTTGCAAAATTTTCCTATGGCACCATAAAATTATCGAGTACATATAAAATATTTTTAAAAACACACATATACAGAAACTGTAAAGATTTTTCAACCTCCTCATTTTTTATCATATTTATGTGTAGATAATTTATTTTTTTCTGAAAAATTTACCAAAGGGACATCTTTGAATATTTTCTCAAAAATAATTAGAAAGCTACTGAGGTGTGTATGTGGGTACGTGTTTAATAGGCTTAATAATTAATGCTTAATTTAACACTTTAATAGGTCTAATTTTCTTTAAATAAAGGAGGTCTTTCTACAACTCCAAATACTTGCAAAACACTTAAAAATTTATTAGTCAGACAATTTTGGCATTATTCAAGTTGCTTTTGACTGAACATAACAGAAACCAATATGAGCTTGCTTAAGCAAGGAAAAGAAGCTTACTGTGGATCAGAACACACACTCAGTGAAACAGCTGAAACTCGGGAATGGAACCTAACACGCAACAGAAGTTCAGCATCCCTACATTGCTAGTGTCCCATCTGATTCCTACTTTATTTTATTGTAATTTTTGCTCTGCAGACTCTCTTTTGATTTTTTTACTTCATGTGTGAAATAGGGATTCTCCCACTTTCAGTTCCTGAATTTACACAATTTACACATTACTCGTCTAGTCATATGCAGAAACCAATTAACTAGGTTATGAATCTCAATTCAATGGACTACCAGAAGAAATAGAAATGGCGACTATATACATGAATAGTGCTCAATATTGTTCTTCATGAAGGGAATGCGATTAGATACCACTTCACACCCACTAAAGTAACTAAAATGATGAAGATCGATAACACTTTATGTTGGTGAATATGTCCAGCACTTGCAACTTGAATATAGTACTAATGAGAATATAGAATTACTTTGGAAAATTGGTGAGCTGCTTTGGTCAATGAAGTATTTTTTAAAAACATAACAATCCAATTCTAGGTATTTTCTGTAGAAAAGTGATGACATTTGTATACATAAAGATGCATTTAAGCATGTTCGTAGCACTCTCTGTTTTCTTTTCACATAGTGGCCTCAAACTGTATACAATCTAGATACCTGCTGATAGGAGCATAAAGAAGCTATGGTTTGCTCATTCCACAGAATGTTGCTCAGCAGCATGCAGGAATGACTACTAACATGTACAGCAACATCAACAAATCTCAGGAATATTATGCTGAATTAAAAAGCCAGACATGAAAGAATCAGCATTATTTTATTATGTGAAGGCCTAGAACAGCAAAGCTAATCTATGTTGATAAAAATCATACAGGTGGTTGTGGATGGCAGGAGGTTGACTGGAAAAAGGCACAAGGAAGTTTTATGAGAAGATGGAAATGTTTATATGTTGACTTGCATCTTAACTACACAGGTAATGCATTTGTTAAACTTATCAATCTATATGTTTAAGTGCTGTGCATTTCGCTGTATATAAATGATATTTTGATAAATAAAAGTAAGCAACATAATGTTGAGTCATATTAAATTGCTTATTTTTAGCTACTTTTAGCTACAAAAATGGCAATTTTATATGGCCCAACCTACTAATAGCTTTTGTCTCTGAGAAAAATGTGAAAATTGTTTTTGAGACTTTTTGTACAACTACTGTAGAAGAGATGGGAGAATAAGAGGTGACCTGGGAAAACAATAAACTATCTACAAGGAGCATGTCCTAGGAAGGTCTATTGTCCCTTCCTTACTGGCATGTGCACATGTGTATGCATGCAAGCATATGTAATAGCACATGCATTTATGTGCGTACATTGCATGTGTGTGTGGTGGAGGACACCAAATAGGCCTTTCCACAAGAGACAGGTGTTAAGCTTGTGGCAGATTGGACAATGTGTCTGCATTAATTGCCTTTATTTACATGGCTTTTGCTCAGTCAATTTATGGCATTCTTCTGAGCACCTGGATCTGGTTGTTCTGTGTAAAAATGATTTTCATTCTGAAAATCACAAAACTCACTTTTGCTTGGAATATGGTTTTCTACTGGCTGAGATTTATTTTAATGCTGAAAAGCTGGACCCAATTTATTGTGAGTTTTCAACAAATCCTTCTCAGATTGCCAGGAATCCCACTGTTTGAATGCACATGTGGAAAAATATTGAGACTGAGCTGTTGAAATGTGTTGGATTATTGAGAAACTGAAAATAGTAAATAGTTAATTGAGTAGAAAATAGGCTTGGCAAGGTTTTATGAGCTAGAGAGAAAAGTTGATAGACTGGACCCTGGAACCACACATATGAGAGAATTTGTATTGTTGAAACTCAACTCAATGGCCTGTAACTGCTGTGGGTCAGTTGTGAGTGTGGCCAGAGCCTTGGGAAGACATTCTGAGCACATGCGCTCAAATGACCACTGAAGATCTTGCATGAACAATCCTTTCTCTACCTGTGACCGCCACCCATTTTTGCTGAGTGAAAATTAACCCATAATAGCATAACCTCATAGTGCTATGTCAGTTGGATCATGTTGTCCTGTCTGTGTTCAACTGTGAAGAAGTCTTTTTCTGGGTAACACAGCCGAGATTCCTATTCTGAAATATAGTTGAATGCTTTATAGCTTTAGATAAATTTGGATTACAAAACCTGTTGGAAGTCCTTTATGGAAAATAGAAAGCTGTGAACAATGAAACAATGAAAAATTAAGAAGGAAATAGTAAGCCACTTTCCAATGAAACATATGAGTAATAAAAATAGATAACAGTTATATAACAAAGATAACTGGCTACGGAAAGTCATAAGCATTTTAGATACATAAAATCATGTAATCAGAAAATCTAGTAATATTGGTACTAGTATTATCTTCTTTTTATGGCATATAGACTGAGTCACCAAGAATTTTAAGGACTTGTCCAAGATAGCACAATTACTAATTGGCAAACGCAGGAAGTTTGGCTTTATATGAGTCTCTTCTGATTATTCTATAACAATTTCAGCATGTCTCTGTAAATTGCTGAACTGGAGTTTGATTTATATTCACATGGTAATACACTGAAATACACATGTATGGACATGTGCACATGCATGTAGTTCTACATATGCATGCATAGGCATCCCCATGGTCACACACATACGCAACTTCTTAAGTGTCAAAGTTTCACAAGAGAAAGGGCAGCAATGCTGGAGTCAGAGCTAAGACTGAATCCTGGTCCTACCTCTGCCAGCTGTGTACATCACTTTAACTCTCTGCCGCTCAGTGTTTCACATATGGAATGTGAGTTTAATGATGGTTTCCTTGAAGGATTAAGGAGCAGAAGCTGGAACTAGTCATTAAAAAGCCTGGTATTTATTATTATTTTGTTCTTAATATCTTCTTAAGAACAATTTTCTTGTTTTGGTAACTAAGACCGAATTGTCCTCTAGACATGGCTTATTAGAGTTGGGGCCCCCATTCTGATTTTTCTCCCCAAGTTATCCTGTTTCTGTCTTTGCCCTTTTCTCTACTAGGCTACTAGATTTATTTGTGGCTGTCTGTCAGACCTCAGAATTTGGAACCTCTCTTCAATTTCCTGCTGTTACCTGCTTGAATTTCATTTATAAAGAGTGGGGTCAGCAAGAAAATGGACTTATTAACCACATTCTCTGGTGCTGTACCAATTCTCCCCTTAAGGCTTCCCAGCATGGCCTGGCTTGTCCTCAGAGTCTGGTGGTTTGAGGGTGAGGTGGAGCTGGGGAGGCTATGACAAAAACTAGGCCAACCTCAAAACAAGAAGTCCCACAGAAACCTTTGCTTGAGCTTCTAAAATCTCTAGTTTAAATACTGAATTCCACAGTTTCTTGGGTCCTGTTATGGAAATTAGGCACATCTTCTTTTTGGATATTTTGTGTTTTGGTACTATCATTGGAAAACAAAGCAAAGCAAAGCTAGACACAAAAGCCCCCTTTTCCCTCATTGCTTCTTTTAATTGCATTGTTATTTTGAAACTAGAGAGTGACATTTGATTTCCTGCTAACTGTTTTCCTGCAATGTTTTGGAATTCTACCTTTTGATCAAGGCTGTGGCTTGGAACAAAATTTGGCCTGTGAGTAGCCCTAAAATAACAGGTGGCTCTAAGTATTTCAAAACCAATGTTCCTAATCACAATCATCTTCTTTATGTTTTTACTATTTCTACAGCATAGATCTTGTTACACTGAATGTAAAGAGGCACCAAAAAGTCTTATAAGCCTTCCATTATTTCTCCTTGCTGAGTTAATAATTTATTTCTCTATTTCTAGAGCTTATTTGTATTAAATCCTTTATTATGGTCTGCCTGTGTCAGAGCTATCTATCCATTTATTCATTTTTCTACCTGTCCATATGTCTGTATTATCTATCTGCTATCTATCTGTCACCTTCTCTATCTAATATCTATCTATCTATCTATCTATCTATCTGTCATCTATCTATCTATCTGTCATCTATCTATCTATCTATCTATCTATCTATCACATCTCTCCCCATCTATCTGCCTATCTATCTATCTATCTATCTATCTGTCTATCTATCTATCTATCTATCCATCTATCTATCTATCTGCCTATCTATCTATCTATCTATCTATCTATCTATCCCCTATCTAACCTCTGTCTGTCTGTCTGTCTGTCTGTCTGTCTGTATCTTTCTATCTATCCATCTATCTATCTATCTATCTATCTATCTCTCTCTCTCTCTCTCTCTCTCTCTCTCTCTCTCTCACTCTATCTTGTCTATCTGTCTATCTGCCTATCTCTCTCTCTCTCTCTCTCTCTATCTGCCTATCTATCTATCTATCTATCTATCTATCTATCTATCTATCTATCTATCTTTCTATTTATCTATCTATATCTATCAATGCACCTATTTATCCACTTGTCTATCTAACTGTCTGTCATCATCTATCTGTTACATTCATATTTGCTTTAAAATACTTGTTCTTTTGATTGCTTTGATTAGAAATAAACACATGTAAAAACCAATAATTTAGACTTTCGAAATAAACACATGTAAAAACCAATAATTTAGACTTTCGTTGAACACTTTTGTACCTGTCCTTTCCATGTCTTATCTCCAACAACAGAAGACCTTCTTACATACCACTTTCAGTACTATAGTGCAAAGAGATCATCCAAAAAAAATCAGTGGGAGGCGATGAGTTGGGAAAATGCCATCTGGATAATGTGAAGTGAAACAGCTCTAAACTTTCAACATTTCTTGGTTAGAACAATGAAAATTGTTATGCCCAAGACATTTCAGGAAGGAAGGAATATGGCTGTGAAAACAAGACCAAAAATTGTTATGCTTACGAATTTCAGTGCCTATTGTGTTTGTTGATATAATCAACACATTAAAAAATTATTTTATTTTACTTTAAGTTCTGGGATACATGCACAGAATGCGCAAGTTTGTTACATAGAAATACATGTGCCATGGTGGTTTTTTGCACTTATCAACCCATCATCTAGGTTTTAAGCCCCACATGCACTAGATATTTGTCCTCATGGTCTCCCTTCCCTTGCCTTCCAGCCCCCGACAGACCCAGGTGTGTGATGTTCCCCTCCCACTATCCCTGTGTTCTCATTGCTCAACTCCCACTTATGAGTAGGAACACACAGTGTTTGGTTTTCTGTTGCTGCATTAGTTTGCTGAGAATCATGGCTTCCAGCTTCATCTGTGTCCCTGAATAAGCACATTTTTTTTTTATTTTCTGTGTTCTTAAAGGAAGCATTATATCTGAACAAATCAGAATTGCTACAAGATGGAAGGCTTTTCTTTAGAGGAGCAACATTCAATTGCGGTAGCTTTGAATGCCTTTTTTTTTTCTTTTTTGACAGTCTCTCTCTGTCGCCCAGGCTGGAGTGCAGTGGCACGAGCTCGGCTCACTGCAACCTCCGCCTCTTGGGTCAAGCAATTCTCCTGCCTCAGACTCCTGAGTACCTGGGATTACAGGTGTGCACCACCATGCCTGGCTAATTTTTTTGTATTTTTAGTAGAGATGGAGTTTCACCATGTTGGTCAGGCTGGTCTCGTAATCCCAGTGTGCTGGGATTATAGGCGTGAGCCACTGCACCCAGCCTGAATGCCATTTTTGCCCAATTGCCTTGATTTCAGGTCATCACTTGCTGCCACACTTGAGGCATCTGCATATGAATCTCACATGCAGTTGAGAAATCATGGGTGTGGCAATTGTGAGTGTTTGAAGAAGTGAAGCATTGCTGTACTCACAAAATGCCATAGTGAGGCATTTGGCTTTCTGTTTTATAGTTATAGTAATGAGGATTCCACGTGTGATTTTCTGGGCCAGGTTTGAGGCCATCTTCTCGTTCATTTTTGTTGACAGTCACCAATCGTTAGCCTGGTGCTTGTCTGCCACTTACTAGATAAATATTTGTTGAATATAACAGAATTAAAGCAATGGGCATGGATGTGCCTGACCTAATACTAGATGCCAGAAAGTAGAGAGATAAGTTTGTTGTTAAATGCAAATGACAGTGCTACCTAACAGGTACACAGAATCAAGCAGAGACATTCTCCATAAATTTTGAATGTTAAAGAGGAATAATCTTTGGGGAATAGGAAAGGACTTTTCACCATATTAGCAAGCATGGGCAGAGACATCACTGTGTGGAGGAGCAGGGCGTTTCAGGGAAGAGAGGGAATTTTAGCCATTGGTTATAGCACCATGTAGAGAGCGTGACCACATGGAAAAGAGGTATAATCTAGTGGCCAAATTGTGTTTCAGTGTTCTGTTTCAGTTCCAGGTTTGGGTTTTTGTCCTGCAAGTAACAAGGATCAACGGAAACATAGCCATGCAGAAACATGAGCTGGGATGCTTTCTCTCTAGATCAAGCTTGTCCAACCCATGGACTATAGGCCTCATGTAACCCAGGACAGCTCTGAATGTGGCCCAACACAAATTCATAAACTTTCTTAAAATATTATTAGGTTTTTTTTGCAATTTTTTTTTTCTAGCTCATCAGCTATAATTAGTATTAGTGTATTTTATCTGTGGCCCAAGACAATTCTTCTTCCAAGGTGGCCCAGGGAAGTCAAAAGATTGGACACCCCTGCTCTAGACGGTGAAAAGATTACCCAGGGCTGGAACAAAGAGAAAGGGTTGTCTCTATGGGATTTCCAGTTCTCTGCTGTCAGAACAGATGCATTTGTGGTGCTACAGTGTGTCTCCACTTTCGCAACCCATGGGCATTAGCCAGCAGCTTCTACCACAAGTTGCAGTGAGACAGAATCAATGGGAGGACATTTTTTTCCCCAAGTGTTTATTATAAAATGTTTCAAAACTACAGAAAAGTTGAAGAAATAATAAAACAAACACCCATTTACTTACCATCTAGCTTCAACAATTGTTAAAATTTTGCTGTATATGCTTTATTTTGTTTGTGTATGTAAATTACTTGGACTGTAATTTATTTTTTTCTTGTATCTCCTTTATTTTCCAGAAACTTGAAATTAAACCTGAAGACCTTATTAGACTCAAATTACATATTTTTGGCGAGAAACTTGTATTGTTCATGCAATAAATTGCCTTTTGTGTTATATGAGAAGGTAGGTGATAATAAATTATCCTTTGGACTTACTTGTTTCTTAGAACATTTCTTTGATTTCTGGTCCAAAATATCCAAAGCTTATCTTGTAATTCTCTTGCTTGATTCCTGTTAGTAAAGAATATTATTTAGAAGCCAAGATCTGAATTGATTGATATTGGGATGACATTGTTTCCACATTCATTCTATGGAGCTAGGAAATATATATATATATAGATATAGATATAGATATAGATATAGATATAGATATATATAGATATGTATAATTTAAGAAAAATAATATATATATTCATATTTCCAATTAAAATTTAACCAAGTGGTATATTTTATGGAATTTCTTTGATATTATTTCCTTCCTACACTGAAAAATCCGGGTGTTTCACACATTGCCATTTTTATATAATCATCACAATATGTATATTTTAAAAATTATAATAATGCTACTATTAAAATCACCAAAAGAGACTTTGGTTTTCTTTGCACTTTTCCTTGTATCCTGAATAGATCCCTCTAAGAATGTAAACATGTGCAGTCAGAGCACTCTGTTCCACAACATCTTGAAACAATTATTTTCTATGTGATTATATTACCAAGTTCATAGACGTAGATTCATTTGTTTCATTTTTTTTATTTTATACCTTTTGTTTTTTCCTTTTTGATCTAAAGTGATTTTTTGATCACATAAAATATTGCATTCAAAACAAGGTGCACTCAGAGAAGTTTCATTCCCATCCCTTTACCCTCCACCCCACTTTGACTCCCATGCTATTTCCTTCTTCATTTACCCAGAATTTCTTTTTGCAAAAATATATTACTAGCTGCGTTTGTACTTTTGTTTCTACTACAACACAGAAAGGATTCAATTTTCACTGCTGTGTACTTTAAAATACAGCCTGGGACTATCTCTATTTCAATACGTAGAAATTTTGCTCATTTTTTCTTACAGCTGAGTGATACGTCATTGTGTGAATATACCACATATACAAGCAGTTCCTTACCAAAGGCATTGGAGTTGTTTCCTGTCTTCTGCTTTGTAAACTGTGACATAGAACATGACCTTGTTCACATAATGCTTCATATTTACAGAATTTACCATCTGGGTAGATTCCTAGAAGGCGATTTCTGGTTCAAAGTGTTTCTGTGGGGTGTGTGTGTGTGTGTGTGTGTGTGTGTGAGAGAGAGAGAGAGAGAGAGAGAGAGAGTTTTATAGATACTGCAAAAATATCCTACTTATTCTATTATACAATATACGACTCTGCCTGTTTCATCACAGCTTCACCATGAGTTTTGTCAAACATCTGGAAGTTTTACTGATTTGATGAATGAGAATCGGATCTAAATCTAATTTTCACTGGTCTTTTTCTTATATTTATTAGGAGTAAATTTGGTACCTTCTGAACTTGTTTCTTGTTTATAGATTTGCTGATTATTAATCTACAGTGGATGAACATTTAAGAAACTAAGCCTGCTAAAAATCTAACTGGAGCTTTTGAAAATCTCCTGGTTCTAAAAGACAAATCTCATGGTTTCAGGACCAACACAAGGAAGAAGTTCATTGGTACAAACCTCACACCATGGGACCCCTGGAGGACTATACCTTAGAAGCAGGGATGAAAGAAAGGTAGGCTGAGCCTTTAAAAGTCTGAAAACTGACCTCAGGCCAAGGCAGTCCCTGATGGGATTAAGGTGATCTGTTCCAACCCCAGCAACCTGCCAAAAAAAAAAAAAGTAATGCTCAGTCGTCATCACTATGCAATACATTCATGTAACACACCTCTACCTGTACCCTCTAAGTCTATAAAAATAAAAATAATTTAAAAAATAGTTAACATTTTGTCCTTTATGTTTATGAGGCTTATAATCTGGCAAAGGAATCATTAAAGTAATTTACAAAAACCCCAGCAACACAATGTTTTGAGTTTATAATTGAAGACAGTATTGATCCTAGGATAGCACAGGGACACTGATTAAGGTCCATCCTGGAGGAAGGGGTTTTCTTCATTGACTCTTAGGGGAGATGATATTTGAGAGAAATCATAAGGCATGGAAGAAAGTCGCTGGGTAAATGAGGGATTTCTATGTGTTTGTGCTGCAGGCAGACAGAGATGAGACTGACAGAGGCAGCTAGGTGTGAAATTGTGGATTAGGACAATGGCAAGAATTTCAGTGTCTTGAAGCTGACTCAGCACATGGGCAAATATCGGGACATGAAATGGGACAGGAAGTAAGTATTTTTCTTTTCTTTTTTTTTTATTTAAGAATTTTATTTTATTTATTTATTTTTTTATTATTATACTTTGAGTTCTAGGGTACATGTACATAACGTGCAGGTTTGTTACATATGTGTACTGGTGCCATGTTGATGTGCTGCACCCATCAACTCATCAGCACCCATCAACTCGTCATTTACATCAGGTATAACTCCCAGTGCAATCCCTCCCCCCTCCCCCTCCCCATGATAGGCCCCGGTGTGTGATGTTCCCCTTCCCGAGTCCAAGTGATCTCATTGTTCAGTTCCCACCTATAAGTGAGAACATGCGGTGTTTGGTTTTCTGTTCTTGTGATAGTTTGCTAAGAATGATGGTTTCCAGCTGCATCCATGTCCCTACAAAGGACACAAACTCATCCTTTTTTATGGCTGCATAGTATTCCATGGTGTATATGTGCCACATTTTCTTAATCCAGTCTGTCACTGATGGACATTTGGGTTGATTCCAAGTCTTTGCTATTGTGAATAGTGCCGCAATAAACATACGTGTGCATGTGTCTTTATAGCAGCATGATTTATAATCCTTTGGGTATCTACCCAGTAATGGGATGGCTGGGTCATATGGTACATCTAGTTCTAGATCCTTGAGGAATCGCCATACTGTTTTCCATAATGGTTGAACTAGTTTACAATCCCACCAACAGTGTAAAAGTGTTCCTATTTCTCCACATCCTCTCCAGCACCTGTTGTTTCCTGACTTTTGAATGATCGCCATTCTAACTGGTGTGAGATGGTATCTCATTGTGGTTTTGATTTGCATTTCTCTGATGGCCAGTGATGATGAGCATTTTTTCATGTGTCTGTTGGCTGTATGAATGTCTTCTTTTGAGAAATGTCTGTTCATATCCTTTGCCCACTTTTTGATGGGGTTGTTTGTTTTTTTCTTGTAAATTTGTTTGAGTTCTTTGTAGGTTCTGGATATTAGCCCTTTATCAGATGAGTAGATTGCAAAAATTTTCTCCCAATCTGTAGGTTGCCTGTTCACTCTGATGGTAGTTTCTTTTGCTGTGTAGAAGCTCTTTAGTTTAATGAGATCCCATATGTCAATTTTGACTTTTGCTGCCGTTGCTTTTGGTGTTTTAGACATGAAGTCTTTGCCCATGCCTATGTCCTGAATGGTTCTACCTAGGTTTTCCTCTAGGATTTTTATGATATTAGGTCTAACATTTAAGTCTCTAATCCATCTTGAATTAATTTTCGTATAAGGAGTAAGGAAAGGATCCAGTTTCAGCTTTCTACTTATGGCTAGCCAATTTTCCCAGCACCATTTATTAAATAGGGAATCCTTTCCCCATTTCTTGTTTCTCTCAGGTTTGTCAAAGATCAGATGGCTGTAGATGTGTGGTATTATTTCTGAGGACTCTGTTCTGTTCCATTGGTCTATATCTCTGTTTTGGTACCAGTACCATGCCGTTTTGGTTACTGTAGCCTTGTAGTATAGTTTGAAGTCAGGTAGCGTGATGCCTCCAGCTTTGTTCTTTTGACTTAGGATTGTCTTGGAGATGCGGGCTCTTTTTTGGTTCCATATGAACTTTAAAGCAGTTTTTTCCAATTCTGTGAAGAAGCTCATTGGTAGCTTGATGGGGATGGCATTGAATCTATAAATTACCTTGGGCAGTATGGCCATTTTCACGATATTGATTCTTCCTATCCATGAGCATGGTATGTTCTTCCATTTGTTTGTGTCCTCTTTGATTTCACTGAGCAGTGGTTTGTAGTTCTCCTTGAAGAGGTCCTTTACATCCCTTGTAAGTTGGATTCCTAGGTATTTTATTCTCTTTGAAGCAATTGTGAATGGAAGTTCATTCCTGATTTGGCTCTCTGTTTGACTGTCACTGGTGTATAAGAATGCTTGTGATTTTTGCACATTAATTTTGTATCCTGAGACTTTGCTGAAGTTGCTGATCAGCTTAAGGAGATTTTGGGCTGAGACAATGGGGTTTTCTAAATATACAATCATGTCATCTGCAAAGAGGGACAATTTGACTTCTTCTTTTCCTAACTGAATCCCCTTGATTTCTTTCTCTTGCCTGATTACCCTAGCCAGAACTTCCAACACTATGTTGAATAGGAGTGGTGAGAGAGGGCATCCCTGTCTTGTGCCAGTTTTCAAAGGGAATTTTTCCAGTTTTTGCCCATTCAGTATGATATTGGCTGTGGGTTTGTCATAAATAGATCTTATTATTTTGAGGTACGTTCCATCAATACCGAATTTATTGAGTGTTTTTAGCATGAAGGGCTCTTGAATTTTGTCAAACGCCTTTTCTGCATCTATTGAGATAATCATGTGGTTCTTGTCTTTGGTTCTGTTTATATGCTGGATTATGTTTACTGATTTGCGAATGTTGAACCAGCCTTGCATCCCAGGGATGAAGCCCACTTGATCATGGTGGATAAGCTTTTTGATGTGCTGTTGAATCCGGTTTGCCAGTATTTTATTGAGGATTTTTGCATCGATGTTCATCAGGGATATTGGCCTAAAATTCTCTTTTTTTGATGTGTCTCTGCCAGGCTTTGGTATCAGGATGATGTTGGCCTCATAAAATGAGTTAGGGAGGATTCCCTCTTTTTCTATTGTTTGGAATAATTTCAGAAGGAATGGTACCAGCTCCTCCTTGTACCTCTGGTAGAATTCGGCTGTGAATCCATCTGGTCCTGGACTTTTTTTGGTTGGTAGGCTATTAATTATTGCCTCAATTTCAGAGCCTGCTATTGGTCTATTCAGGGATTCAACTTCTTCCTGGTTTAGTCTTGGAAGAGTATAAGTGTCCAGGAAATTATCCATTTCTTCTAGATTTTCCAGTTTATTTGCATAGAGGTGTTTATAGTATTCTCTAATGGTAGTTTGTATTTCTGTGGGGTCGGTGGTGATATCCCCTTTATCATTTTTTATTGCGTCAATTTGATTCTTCTCTCTTTTCTTCTTTATTAGTCTTGCTAGCGGTCTGTCAATTTTGTTGATCTTTTCAAAAACCAGCTCCTGGATTCATTGATTTTTTGGAGGGTTTTTTGTGTTTCTATCTCCTTCAGTTCTGCTCTGATCTTAGTTATTTCTTGCCTTCTGCTAGCTTTCGAATGTGTTTGCTCTTGCTTCTCTAATTCTTTTAACTGCGATGTTAGAGTGTCAATTTTAGATCTTTCCTGCTTTCTCTTGTGGGCATTTAGTGCTACAAATTTCCCTCTACACACCACTTTAAATGTGTCCCAGAGATTCTGGTATGTTGTATCTTTGTTCTCATTGGTTTCAAAGAACATCTTTATTTCTGCCTTCATTTCGTTATGTACCCAGTAGTCATTCAGGAGCAGGTTGTTCAGTTTCCATGTAGTTGAGTGGTTTTGACTGAGTTTCTTAGTCCTGAGTTCTAGTTTGATTGGACTGTGGTCTGAGAGATAGTTTGTTATAATTTGTGTTCTTGTACATTTGCTGAGGAGTGCTTTCCTTCCAATTATGTGGTCAATTTTGGAGTAAGTGCGATGTGGTGCTGAGAAGAATGTATATTCTGTTGATTTGGGGTGGAGAGTTCTATAGATGTCTATTAGGTCTGCTTGCTGCAGAGATGAGTTCAATTCCTGGATATCCTTGTTAACTTTCTGTCTCCTTGATCTGTCTAATGTTGACAGTGGAGTGTTGAAGTCTCCCATTATTATTGTATGGGAGTCTAAGTCTCTTTGTAAGTCTCTAAGGACTTGCTTTATGAATCTGGGTGCTCCTGTATTGGGTGCATATATATTTAGGATAGTAGCTCTTCCTGTTGAATTGATCCCTTTACCATTATGTAATGGCCTTCTTTGTCTCTTTTGATCTTTGATGGTTTAAAGTCTGTTTTATCAGAGACTAGTATTGCAACCCCTGCTTTTTTTTTGTTCTCCATTTGCTTGGTAAATCTTCCTCCATCCCTTTATTTTGAGCCTATGTATGTCTCTGCATGTGAGATGGGTCTCCTGAATACAGCAGACTGATGGGTCTTGATTCTTTATCCAGTTTGCCAGTCTGTGTCTTTTAATTGGAGCATTTAGTCCATTTACATTTAAGGTTAATATTGTTATGTGTGAACTTGATCCTGCCATTATGATATTAACTGGTTATTTTGCTTATTAGTTGATGCAGTTTCTTCCTAGCCTTGATGGTCTTTACATTTTGGCATGTTTTTGCAATGGCTGGTACCGGTTGTTCCTTTCCATGTTTAGTGCTTCCTTCAGGGTCTCTTGTAAGGCAGGCTTAGTGGTGACAAAATCTCTAAGCATTTGCTTATCTGTAAAGGATTTTATTTCTCCTTCACTTATGAAACTTAGTTTGGCTGGATATGAAATTCTGGGTTTAAAATTCTTTTCTATAAGAATGTTGAATATTGGCCCCCACTCTCTTCTGGCATGTAGAGTTTCTGCCGAGAGATCTGCTGTTAGTCTGATGGGCTTCCCTTTGTGGGTAACCCGACCTTTCTCTCTGGCTGCCCTTAAGATTTTTTCCTTCATTTCAACTTTGGTGAATCTGGCAATTATGTGTCTTGGAGTTGCTCTTCTCGAGGAGTATCTTTGTGGCGTTCTCTGTATTTCCTGGATTTGAATGTTGGCCTGCCCTACTAAGTTGGGGAAGTTCTCCTGGATGATATTCTGAAGAGTGTTTTCCAATTTGGTTCCATTTTCCCCCTCACTTTCAGGCACCCCAATCAGACATAGATTTGGTCTTTTTACATAATCCCATACTTCTTGCAGGCTTTGTTCATTTCTTTTTCTTCTTTTTTCTTTTGGTTTCTCTTCTCGCTTCATTTCATTCATTTGATCCTCAATCGCTAATACTCTTTCTTCCAGTTGATTGAGTCGGTTACTGAAGCTTGTGCATTTGTCACGTATTTCTCGTGTCATGGTTTTCATCTCTTTCATTTCGTTTATGACCTTCTCTGCATTAATTACTCTAGCCATCAATTCTTCCACTTTTTTTTCAAGATTTTTAGTTTCTT